ATATACATATGTCACATAATGATAAGTGCTATGAAGAAAAATCAAATAAAAAGGAGAATGAGAAGGGGCACTATTGTAATACTGGTGAGAAAAACTCATCTGATTGAGGTGGCATTTGTGCAGAGACTTGAATTAAGGGAGAGGGGAAGCCTTTCAGATATCTTGTCCAGCACATCCTAGGCAGAACAACAATCAGTTCAAAAGCTCTGGGGTAGGCACATGCTGGTGATTTGAGAAACAATCAGTAGAGGCAGCATTAACTCTGGCAAATGGTGAGGTAGAGTGTAGAGAGAAAAACAATGAGATGGATGCAGAGAGGTTGGGCAATGGAGACAGATCATGGAACACCTGGCAGGCTAGGCCAAAGACCAGATTTTATTGGATGGGGGTTGGAGGGATTGGGTGATTTTGAGAACAGGTATAGCATCATTTTGAGAACAGTCATGACATCGATTTAGTTTTTAAAAATATATGTCTGAGTATTTTAAGTTGGATAAGACCAAGATTTTCTCACTTCCAGACCTGTGTGTTCCAGATACTAAGCTTCTTCTAATCCCAAATATTATTTTCAGGAACTAATTTCAATTATAACTTTAGAAAAATTAGAGAGAAAGTTTCCTAGACTCAGGAAAACTAGAAAATGAGTAACTAGATACTTTTTAGGAAAATACTTTAATTTTATCCACTTTTATTTTCCAGTGTCAGAGAAACATGTACCCCTTTTTTAACCATCAAAAACTTCTCTTTCAAATAATACAGTCTCTCAAGCTCTGAAGAAATGAAACCAGCTCTGGATTATTCTACCACATTTAACAAACATAAAAAGTCTGAAGCCTGAATGTAATGACAGGATTTTATTAAATCTTAGTGAAGTCATCTAAGTTAAGTTACAAATTAGTTTACAAAAGTCAAACACATACAAATCAGATTTTCCCCATCCCATAGTCAGTGCTGAGTTTTAAAGCCTGTCTGGCCAGTCTTGGCTGTTATAGTATTGTTCCTTTAGCCTATAAATGTCAAGGTTACTTGGGGGTAAGGGCCATGTGGTTATAGCAAAATAGAGAATTAATGGAATGAGGAAAATATTTCAAAATCTCAGAGAATAGATACTTGGGGGAATAGCGTAAAAGAACTATTGGATTCATGCATTTTGCCACCTTTTAGAATATTAACAGCAATCCAAAATCTTCTAAAAACACCAAGCATAGAAAAAGACAGCGTTTTTAAAGATTAACAAATAGTTTGCAGGTTTATTGGGAAATTCATGCCCTGATGAACAAAGGATACCATAAGCCTACACCCTGCAGTCTGCAATGTAAGCCTGTTAGAGAAGACTTCTTGGAGGAGGTGACATCTGAGATGATTTTGAAGGACCAGTAGAAGGAAGGCTGAGGAGATGGATGCTATTTTTGCAGGCGAGGCCTTTGAATTGAAACTTGGGGCTCTTTCTATGGCTGTTGAAATAAGAATGCAACAGCACAATTATGTACAATCTTTGTTCATTTTTTATTCTCTCCTTCAGTTCTCCAGATCCTTTTGGGGTGGTGGAATGCCTGTGGCTTTCGGACTAGTGTGGCAAAACAGAAAAGTTCTAATTCACTCAAATTTTGGTAGTTATTGGTTGCATGCCTCTGAGGCTTTTTTTTTTTTTTTCATACTTTTGGGTCCAAAACTCTGAGAGGTATGTAAGTTTCAGACCTTGATCAAAATGTATTTTTAATTGGTGAGCTCATCACAGAAATTGAGAAAGATGGTAGGAAGAAAAAAAGGAAATGCTATTATTTAAGCAATTCAGTTTTGAACTTTCCTTTAACATCATTTCCCTGGCTTACCAACAAACTGGCCCTACAGTTAGGTCCACAATCAATATTTTATTTTAGTCAGTGTTGTTTGATCCCTTGTCTAGATGTCAGCAATCCAAACACTTTCTTGACAATAAGTGATATAAGTAGACCTTACAAATACATTGAAAATATCTTGTGCAGTGATCCCATTTCTGGCATTATGAGTAAATTAGAGAGCCAGAAGCATGTCCATTTCCTAAATATGATTGGCTCTTTCTTGTGTCATCTTATTCTTTCACTGTTTTCCCTCATCCTTTCCTACAAGGTATGTATGCATATACAATTTGAGTAACCCTAATCTGAAAATCCAAAATCTAAACTGCTCTGAAATTCAAAACTTTTTGAGTACTGATGTGAGGTTCAAAATAATGCTCACTGGAACCTTTGGATTTCAGATTCTTGGATTAGAGCTGCTCAACTGGTAAATATTTACTGCAAATATTTCAAAATCGAAAAACATCTAAAGTCCAAAACACTTCTGGTTTCAAATATTTTGGAAGAAATATACAATGTATAAGATGGATGATATACATGAGTATACATGCTGCTTTGTGTCTGTGCTTTCTAGAATCAACCATGACATCCCTCGAGTACCAGAGCTAACTAACCTTGTTATTCTTTGTACCCAACACATAACTTAATATGGTGAATAAAATGTTTGGCGCATTATGTTCAAACTTGAATCACTACAGGTCAGGCTTTGAGGGGTAAAGCAGACCAAGAGTTATTTAGAAGTCAAGGGAATAGACAAAGAATGAAAGGTTAGAGAAACTTTTCAGGGAAAACTACATTTTATTCATTTCTGTACTTCAATACAAAACACATACTACAAAATAAATAATAAATATCCACGCCTGATGACAAAGAGAACACTCTTATATCAAAAATTTAAAATAAACAAAATAGATAGGATCTTTATGTTTTCCACTGAGGAGAAGTAGAGCACTTCCCCACTGACTTTCTGACAATTTGTTGTCAGGCTGAACCATGTATTTTCTGGGAACTTGATCAAGTAAAATCATTCTGGGACACCAAAGTGCTTTCAAAACCTAGATCATGTTTCCTTTTGGATCAGGGATCTGACCAAGAGCATATAGAACTCTTAAGATGGATTAATTTTTACTCTGCTCTTCTGATGTGTTTCATTTATCATGTAATAAGTTGACAAAGGGACTGAAATACACAGAGACATGGAATTTTGGGGTTACCCAAAAAAACCTCTGCTGACTCAGTCAAATTTGCGGTTTATATTTTAGCCATTGCTACGGTTAATTTCTGTTTGTTTTTACAATGCATATGAACAAATGTTTCATGAAAAAATTAAAAGAGAAGAAACCAAAAGTGAAATGTGAGCACTGTTAGACTGGCCAACATTTATTAAAGATACCAAGCTAAATGATGGAAAATGTGAACAATCTGGGTTACTTTAGCTGAAAAAATAAACCATTAGTACCCTAATACCTTTTAGACTTGTTTGATAATTATAAGAGCTTTTCTTTCTTTTGTGTCAAAGTTCCTATTGGGTCACTTCAACTAATAAAATCAAAATCAGATTTATTTAATTTCTTCTTTAATTTCTTCTTCTCATAGATCATCTGAAAATGTCAGCAATGGCATGGTATGCTCCAAAATTCTAAAGAGTGAGTTAAAAGCAAATGAAGGGGAGGAGACTCAGGGCAGAGGAAAAGTCAGAAAATAGAGATAAGTTCCCATTTATGATCACCTACTATGTGTTAGTGTGTACATAGCCTTTCAATAATCCCAGTATGTAAGTGTTGTTAACTCTACAGAGGAGGAACTTAAAGTTTTAAAAGACTAGCAACTTGCCCAGAGTTAGTGGTAATTAAGGTTTAAACCTAATTTTGATTTACGTTAAATTTCTACTACTTCATATCTCTTGTAAAACTCAGGTGCAAGATTAAGACATGCCTGACACAAAAACTCAGAAATAAATCGGAAGTATTTTCTTATATGTATATGACGAAGTGAGAGTTAGAAATTAACATCTGTGGACTTGATTTATCTGTACAGTCTTGGCCTCTATTAACATGGATGAGCAAGTGCTGTCTCTCTCTCTCTCTCTCTCTCTCTCTATATATATATATATATATATATATATACACACATATAGTTTGTCTTTTGTCTTTGTCTATATATGTACACAAAGACAAACAGTTTTGTCTTTGTCTCTCTCTCTATATATATAAAATAAACTATATATATATATATATATATATATATATATATATATATAATATTTTTTTTTTTTTAGATGGAATCTTGCTCTGTCACCCAGGCTAGAGTGCAATGATGGTACCATCTCGCCTCACTGCAACCCCTGCCTCCCAGGTTCAACTAATTCTACCTCAGCCTCCCGAGTAGCTGGGACTACAAATTTCTGCCACCATGTGCAGCTAATTTTTGTATTTTTTTTAGTAGAGACAGGGTTTCACCATATTGGCCAAGCTGGTTTCAAACTCCTGACCTCAAGTGATCCTCCTGCCTTGGTCTTCCAAAGTGCTGGGATTACTGGCATGAGCCACCACACTAGGCCTATAATATATTTTTAAATGATAGCAGTAAATAGTGTTCATGGCACTACCTGGATAATACTGATAAAATATACTTTAATTAACATGGACCAAACTATAGATTTATTTTACCATTTTTCCAGGCAATTGAAGCAGATCATATATGGTCTCCACATATCAAAACTGTAACTGATGATTATTTCAATTACCAGCTAAACGTGGTTTGGGGTTTTGTTTTTCTGTTAAATATGCCAAGCTTTTAAACTCAGTATGTCTCATTGCTTATTTAAAAATATAATATGGTGTGAAGGATAGGAGTTCAAATGTGTGCATTGGGACTTTCTAACGTCTCAGAAAAGAAATTTTTAATTTTTATAAACTCATTACAGAGAACTAAAATGATCTGTTTTTAAAAACAACGCTTTCTTTCATTAGTTGTTTGTTTTTTTGTTGTTCTGTTTTGAGACAGGGTCTCACTCCCTCACCCAGGCTAGAGCGCTGTGGCTCTTTCACCATTCACTGCAGCCTCAGCTTTCCAGGTTCAGGTGATCCTCCTGCCTCAGCCTCCTGAGTAGCTGGGACTACAGGCTTGTTCTGCCACACGCCAGGCTACATTTTCTGTTTTAAAAATATGGAACGCTCATGAATTTGCATGTCATCCTTACACAGGGGCCAAATTAGTCTTCTCTGTATCATTTCAATTTTAGTATATGTGTTGGCAAAGCGAGCACTATTAGTTTTTAATATTATGTTTTCCCTTGCTTAGTGTACTGCAATGTATAAACTACCATACTAAAGTCTCCTGTTTTGGTTGATTTGCTTATTAGTTCTTTCAAAATAGGAGATACAAATAGAAACATGTAAGACCCCAGACCTTCATAGACATGATGAAATATCTACAAAGATATCTACAATGTTAACCCAGGAAATCTTTGTGTTGTTAACAACTTAATTTTGAAGAAGCAAAAAATAATTTAAAAATATTTTTGTGGCCAGGAGCGGTGGCTCAAGCCTGTAATCCCAGCACTTTGGGAGGCTGAGGCGGGTGGATCACGAGGTCAAGAGATCGAGACCATCCTGGTCAACATGGTGAAACCCCGTCTCTACTAAAAAAAAAAAAAATACAAAAAATTAGCTGGGCATGGTGGCACGTGCCTGTAATTCCAGCTACTCAGGAGGCTGAGGCAGGAGAATTGCCTGAACCCAGGAGGCGGAGGTTGTGGTGAGCCGAGATCGCGCCATTGCACTCCAGCCTGGGTAACAAGAGCGAAACTCCGTCTCAAAAAAAAAATTTTTTTGTTTTATTCTTTCCATAATTTAGTTACTATCATTTTAAATCACGTTTCATTATATGAAAACACATACTGAAACAAAGAATTGCTCATTTTCTAGTGATTAATTACAGGTACATCAACATAGATAATGTTCATAATGCCAGCACAAATTTAATTTTAGAAATCTGATCATTTTAAGTCAAAGAAGTACATCTAACACACTTAGGCCAGGTTGAGAATTTGAAATATTGCTTTCAATATTTGCTCAGAAACCAAATGTAGAAAAGTTTATACAAGTCATGGACCAATCGTTACTACATTTACCCCAGGGATCTTTTTACTCTTCTCTACTTGGTAATAAGGGAATAGGGAAATTTGCACTCATATCTAAGAGCTGTGAAGAACTTCCAGATAGCTATGCATTTTGAAGAAAACAATTATCTTCAGTGTAAAAAAATTCAATAAATATGAGTTTATTTTTCTTTCAAAAACAGTACTTGCTACTTATTCCTGGTGTCTTGTCTTCTAACAAAACCTCAAGCTTGGTTGGTGTTTGGTCTGAATCTGTGTTCCTATGAGTGCCCTGTAAATTGGCCTTGGAGAAATAAGGGTTTTCTTGAATCCAGGAAGTCTCGTTGTATTGTTTGGCTGTTATTTGGTGCCTTGACTATAACACATAAAGGGACTATGTGGCTTCAGTTGCCGCTTTCCTAGAAGGCGGGGAGAGGGGGGAGATGGTGTTTAGTGGGTCTGCCGCCTGAGTAGGCCAAAGTAAACCCTGTTGTAAGTAGCGCCTCACGGTGGAATACATTCTTTTGCCAAGCATGTCATTCAGTTTTCAGAAATAATTTAGCTGCTTTGGGATGTGGGGAGCAGGAAGGAATTTTGCTATTGGCTGCTGGAAAAGTCCTGGTGAATAAAATGGTGGGGAGAAGATTGCTGAGAACGACCTGCTGCTAGGAGCTGGGACGGCAGGGCGGGGGGGCGGGCAGTTGAAACTTCAGTCTGCTTAGTTGGCACTAGCTGTATGCCGTCTGCTGTGAGTCCTGTGAGAAAGCTGCCTGCAGGCTGCTACTCAGTGAGCAAGCAGCCTCGATGATACCTTCTGACTGCTCACCACCATCAGGCAAATGCTTAATCAGCAGCTTTTGAAAAGAGCATGATTAATAAACCCATAAAACTCTCTTCTCTGATTAAAGCAGCAACTGTGTGACGAAATCTATTAGAGCTTAGTTAGAGGCCATTATAGTAGAGAAAGTAAATTATTAAAGGGGAGATTTGTAGGCACTCTAGGAAAACAGATTTGGCTGGACTTGGTCCTGTCTCCCAGCTGTGAGAATTAAATAGGAGTCTGGGGCCATGTAAAATTTAGTGCAGGACATAGTTATAAGACAGCAGGGTAAAATGCTATGACTGAAAGGCAGCAGCTCTCTATGAAATGCACATTGATTTTCAAAGGCTGAAGAGTGTTTCTTCAGTTCCCCATGCTACTGTACGCTGATAGAGAATAGATGAGGCTGACTTTTAGATCACACTTAATTTTCTTTTTTTTTCTGTCAACTTTATTTTTAAACCTTTTCCCATAAGTCTAGCTCATTAGAGCAAAAGAACTTTAATGAGATAATGAGTATAAAGTCAATTGGGAAAGTTTAAAAACTCCATTTGGTTGTCATTACTGTTATACTGGACTGAACCCGATTTTCGTTTCGTGTACATTTATTGAAGTAAGGATATCAAATATAAATGTTGATAAATGTTTGCTTCTCCAGAAGTGCACACTAAAATAATGCACTTTTTAAAAGTAGCTAATCCACAAGTTTCCAGTTAGTAGAGCTTTATTTTTATTTTAGTTCTTCCTTAAAAAAAAAAAATGTGTTTTTTTCTAGAGAGTACACGATAAGTCCTGGTACTAATAAGAGAGCATTCCTAAAGCAGGTTTTAAAAGTAATAGCAAATTAGTGCGTTACTCTCATTTTAAAATTTATTACAGTATGCTCATTTCCTTACTGCTTTACTCTATAAATGTTTGCTGATCATGAGCAATACATGACATCACATGAAAGTACTGCCAGGGATACAAAAATAATAACAGCAACTCTAATACCTTTACTATGACTGCTGCTATGGATAACACCGAATTACTTACAAAGGGCAAACTATACATCAAGCACTGTTCTTAGCACTGTACAGAAAGTCATTTATTCCCTGCAACTACCCTTTGAAGTAAGTCCTATGATTATCCTTCTTTTCATACTTGAGGAAACTAAGGCACAGAGAGGTTAAGTAATGCCCTGTGTTAAACAGCTCGTAATTGGCAAAGCTAGGATTTGATTCAGGCAGAATAATTGCTACAGCTGAGTGTGTATATATGGGTGTTTTTTGCGTGTGTGTGTGCATATGTGTTAATAGCAGTAACACATTTTCTAAGCATTCTTAGAAAAATGCTGAGGGCAGAGGTTGTAGAGTTCTAGCTATTGGGAGAGCTGTGGAACTGACTTGAACCATGAACTTGGAGCTGGATGTGCCGAGATGGAAGCTGAGCCTGGCAGCACAAGAGTAGTGAAGCAAGCTGTCTTAATTGCCTCATCTATGGTGTATACAAAGTTGATATGGATGGTAAGGCCAAGCTAGTAGACTAAACCAAAATGTAAACCCAAGGGTCAGGCTAGGAAGTGTGGCTTTTGTTTAATGACAATGGTAAATCATTTATTTTTATTAATATTAAGGAGATATGTTCAGAAATGTGTTTCAAAGTTTAAGTCTAATAACAATATGTGGTTAGATTGCAATAGAGAAAAACTGACACGTGTTTAGAATAAGATTACAATATAAAGTCAAAAATAGTATTGGGGTAGCAGTTACGCAAAAGACAAGGTGGTGTCAGCAGAGTTCATTGTTTAGGAAAAAATCACTCAGTACCTTATATCTTGGCATTTATAAACTAGACAGTCTCAAAAAATACTATTGAACCAAACTGACAAAATGAGAAGGCTTTATTATTCAAATACGACTTCTTAGTGTGACGAGCACACATCTTTCTTGATGTTTTTTTATAGCTTCTTAGATAAAAGCTCATTTTTGATCTACATTTGGTATGGTTTCCTGTGCACGTGCTATGCTTCTGCGTGAAAGACGAGTAAATCAGATCCATTTTCATTGCAGTTTTCCTTGGATGACAAGTGTGAGTGGAGCAAGCACACTTTCGCCTAATTGGAAGCATCTGCAGTTTATTTGCCATGGCGTTGTTTCCTATTTTTTTTACCCTGACTCATGCTTTACAGAGTGCTGCCCAATCCTGCTTATTTTCGTCTCACTGCAGCTTTCACATCAGCTGCCATCAGGGTTGTCTTCTCACTACTCTCTGAAATTCATTGCACCAGAGCCTTCTCTGCAGCTCATGTGAAATATAGCTGTAGATTCAGTTGATTATAAGCTACCACGTGCTGGCATAATGATTTCACTGATATGGCATGACTTATCAAAGCATGTGATTTTCTCTTAAGTTTCATTCCTATCAGTGATTAAATGCACTGTCTCTATCGGTTATTTCTGAGCCTGTTACATGGACCTTCACATCTGGGAAGATTCCTCTGAAGTAAATGTGATAATAGAGGGATTTTAACTTCTGCTTTTTTTCCCTACCCACCAAAGGGTAGTATTTTAGGTCATGAGTAACAATGATGATGCCTTTAACAAATTAGATTCAACACCAGGGAATAACTCTGTGGTCTCTAACTACCGAAAACGATTGAAATTCACAGAAATGTATATCTTCTTTTGTAAAGTGCCTGTTCATATCCTTTGCCCACTTTTGAATGGGCTTGTTAGTTTTTTTCTTGTAGATCTGTTTTAGTTCTTTGTAAATTCTGGATATCAGCCCTTTGTCAGATGGGTAAACTGCAAAAATTTTTTCCCATTCTGTTGGTTGCCAATTCACTCTAATGACTGTTTCTTTTGCTGTGCAGAAGCTGTGGAGTTTGATTAGGTCCCATTTGTCTATTTTGGCTTTTGTTGTCAATGCTTTTGGTGTTTTGGTCATGAAGTCCTTGCCTACACCTACATCCTGAATGGTTTTGCCTAGATTTTCTTCTAGGGTTTTTATGGTGTTAGGTCTTATGTTTAAGTCTTCAAACATATGAAAAAATGCTCGTCATCACTGGTCATCAGAGAAATGCAAATCAAAACAACATTGAGATACCATCTCACGCCAGTTAGAATGGCAATCATTAAAAAATCTGGAGACAACAGATGCTGGAGAGGATGTGGAGAAATAGGAACACTTTTGCACTGTTGGTGGGAGTGTAAATTAGTTCAACAATTGTGGAAGACAGTGTGGCGATTCCTCAAGGACCTAGAAATAGAAATTCCATTTGACCCAGCAATCCCATTACTGGGTATATATCCAAAGGATTACAAATTGTTCTACTATAAGGACACGTGCACACGAATGTTCATTG